TTAGAAGCTGTTTGGCAGCTTCTTACAAAGCAAAGCATAAGCGAATCCAAAAAACTGGCAATCCTACTTAGATATTTACTCTAAACTGTTGAAATTATGTATCCAAGAAAGACTTATGTAAAAATGTTCATAATGCATTTTTTTAAAAACTGAAAATAGGTTTTTCATAATTAGGTAAATGGAAAAGAAACTGTGATACAACATCTGCAGCTATACATAACTGCAAGAGAAGGCACAGACTAGCACTGAAGTTCATGGATGTTACATTAAGCTAAAGAGTCCACACACACACAAATATCTCCTATCCAAAACCCATCTTTGGAGCTAGAAATCAGAATGGCACTTGCCTCTGGGAATGTTGGGGCAAAGGCCATGAGGGAATGTTTAGGGAAATGGAAATGTTTTAATATGTTATTTATTTTGTCTCGTGTGTGTGTGTGTGTGTGTGTGTGTGTGTGTGTGTGTGTGTGTATGTGTGTGTGTGTGTGGTGTTTGCTCTGTATGTGTACAGGCATGCTCGTGGCATGACATGCATGCAGAGTTGGAGAACCACCTTGGATGCTGGTCTTTACCTTCCTCTCCATGTGAGACAGACTCTGAGTTGTTTGTTGCTGTGTCCCCCAAGCCAGCTGGCCCCTGAGCTTCTGGGATTCTCCCATCTCTGCCACCTGTTTTGCTACCAGAACACTGGGATTCAAAAGTAGGCTACCATGCCTGGTTTTCTATGAGTTCTGGGGATCTGAACCCAGGGCCTCATGCTTGTGTGGCAAGTGCTTTACCCACTGAGCCATCTCCCCAGCCCACATCTTAAATCTTAGCGGAGTTGGTAACCTTGTTCATACTCACTCACCCGTACACTTCTAATGTGTGTGATTATATAAAAGTTACTCTATGGTTTTTAGAAAATAGAGAAATACTTCATTGAAATCACTATGGAAAAGGGTAGAAAAGAGAATTAAAAATAGACCTGGAGAGATGGTAACAACTGGAAACCGCACGCCCAGAATTTAAGCAGTGAAAGTGATGAGGTAGGAAAGAGGGATGGGATTTCTGGATTATTAAGGTGATAGAATTTATAAGACTTCAAAAGTAGACTGGAGAAGACAGGGTTGAGAAAGCTAGTGGTGTGGGTATAGTTGGTAGAGGAAAATGTCTTCGGAGGAGACCTTTGGGGATGGGAGATAAGCTGAGTTTCAGAACAACTGAGGTTGATGTGTCTCTTGGGCATTTGCAGTTCTAGTGGGCTCTGAGACTGGGGAGGCTCTGGGTCAGAGATACAGCCAGATGGACACAGGAAGGAGGCATCATCGAGGCTGTAATGAATGGGAGAGCACGTATAGATTAAGCAGAGATTGTAGCTAAAAACAGAGTCCTGGGAACCTTGACGTTTAAAGGGCAGGAGAAAGAGGGAACCCCTGAAGGAATTTGAAAAGATTTTAAAATGTCTGTCACGTGGCCAAATAAGGACCAAGTGGCTCAACAAACATGGGGGGGGGCTAATCCCCAGTGCTGTAGAAGAGCAGAGGGATCCTTACCACCCAACCCCAGCCCATCAACGCAGACCTTCCGGTGTCATCCATTCCCTCCCTGGGCTACAAGAATGTTTGTCCTGAAGGCACCTAAAGCCCTTCAGGTCTCTAGATGGGTGAACTGTTCACAGCTGTGCTATCTACACACTCTGCAGCATTTGACAATCTCCTTAAAATGCTTTCCCTGTGCCTTTGTGACCTGGTAGGGGCTTGGTAGCCCTTTGAACACAATCACTTCCTAAGTGTCTTTCCTCCCTTCCCTTGGCATTCCCTGAGATGTACACTCTAATGTATACCCTCTGCTAGGCGCTGAGGATAAAAGGTGGAGAGTGGGCCTGGCTTCCCAAGAGTTGACAGCATAGTTATAGAAAATGCAAATAAATATAATACAATAGCAAGTTATTAGCAGCATACCCTGGAAATATGGAGGGGCCGTCTGGGCTGGGGAGATGGCTCAGTGAGTAAAGTACTCGCCATGCAGACATAAGGACCTGAGTTCAGAGCCACATGTGTAGACCTGTCCTCAGTGGGTAAAGGCACCTGCTCCACGCCTGACAATCTGAGTTTGATCCTCGACCAGCACAATGAAAGGAGGAAACTAACATGCTGTCCTCTGACCTCTGCATGTGCTCCTTAAATTGGGCATTGTGGGAAATGATGCCACTGCAGAGGATGCAGAGACCGGCCAGTTTCTGGCACTCACAGGCAAGCCAGTCAAGCTGAATCACTGAGCTCTAGGCCAAGTAAGAGACCCTGTCTCATAAAATTAGGTGGAGAGCAACTGAAGAAGACATACGGCCATGACCTCTGGCTTCCGAATGCATCCACAGTGCACAAGCACAAACACCTATGACCATAGACACATACAGTAAATTAGGCACAAAACAGTAAATACAAAATCATAGAGACATGGAGGGGCAGTATATTGAGGTTGGGCATATCCCCCAAAATCTTCTCCCTATAGTTGTAGGATGGGTGACGTTAAGGTGATATTGGGGGTTAGATATGTAAATAGAGAGAGGGAAAGAAACCACCAAGTGTTATGTATAAAACTAAAGAGTTTAATCATTTTTCTAAGAGCCGTTGGGAGCCAGCTGGGGTCTTGATTAAAATAAATGGTCAACATATTTTGGAGAGAGGAGGAGAGAAGTAGCTGAGGGAAGGACAGATGGACAAGTACTCTGGGGACACAGGGCCCAGTTAGGATGATATTTCAGTAATCGAGTGAGAAGTAATAGGGTCAGAATTAAAGGAACAGTGTGAACAGAGAGGGTGAATTCTAGAAATCATATCTGATACAGCGTTAAGAGGATTTAGCAACTGGTTGGGGGACATGAATGGGTGCGGATGCCGTCAAAGTTCTTAAATAGGGAGAATTGGGTGGATGGTGACTCCAGCATGGGATTAGAAACAGCCTTCAAGTAGAACTGAAATGATGAATTGAGATTTGAGGGCTTAAGAGATGGCTCAGTGGGTAAGGCACTTGCCATGCAAACATGGGAACCTGAGTTTGATTCCCAGAACCCACAGGAAAAACTGAATGTGGCAGTGCATGCCTGTACCCCCAACATTGGGAGGAGGGGACAGGGAAGTCTTCAGCTGCTCACTGACAAATCTAAGTTTTAGGTTCAGTAACAGAGTCTGTCTTAAACATTAAGGTGACAAACTATGGAGGAAGACACTCGGTGTCTCTTGCCTCATACATACATGCATACATATATACATGTATTATGCACACACACATGTACACACACGCGTGCACACACACACAGAGAAATACACACACACACACACACACACACAGAGGCTGTGTCGTTTGGTTGGTGCTTTGTGTCGTTATGTAGATGGTGGCTGGAACCATTGTACTAGATGAGCCATTTCAGAAAGCCCATATGGGGAATGGCCATCAGAGGGCAGAGGTGGGACATTAAAGATAACAGTAGTGAAGGGTTGAGAAGAAGAAGCAAACACCTGGAAAGGATTTCAAAGGAAAAGAACAAGGAATGTATGATGCATCAAGAGCCAACTGCATGGGGAGTTGTAAGATCTGGGACTATCAACAATGTCAATTTCTACAAATATGAGTGGGATTTAAAATGCCCATGGGATTTGGTAATTAACCACCAAACACAGAGAAATTATTTCATTGCAGGAAATGGAAAGTATAGTATTGTAGTAGAAAGAAAAATCGGAGAAGGCCAATCTAAAATGTAGTCAATTCGGTATGCAAAGACTCATAATTGTAATTTGCCAAAAACATTTTTTATTGAGATATTCAAGCAAAAATAAAGTGAGTTCAACAAAGAAGACAAAGGAATTTCTAAAAAACAGAACATGGATCCAGGTCAGGATGACAGCTGGTCAGCAGATAGATCCACAGAGTAATATGTTTGACACTGACCACTTAACAGGAAGATTAGATCTGTTGAAGAACATACTATACTTTTATAAACATGTTTCTGCTTTCCATAAGAAAAAAAGTCAACAAGAAACCTTTGAGTGATAGAAGGAAAACCTGTGGCAGAAATTAAGACCAAATATGAAGCTTTCTTTGGAGGCTGAAGAGGGGCTTTGGAGGGTCAGAGTGCGTGCTTTACAAGTATAAAGACCCAAGTTCAGATCTCCTGCACTGCCATAAGAAGCTGAGTGTAGACATAAGCAGCTGTGACCCTGGGACTGGGTGGGAGGGCGTGGGTTACCGAGGCTTACTTGATGCCATAACAAACAAACAAAAAAAAAACATAGAGCTCTGGGTTCAGGGAAAGACCTTGTCTCCAGGAAATAAAATAAGTGATGGAACAGGATGCCTGACATTCAACTCTGACTCCTGAGTACATGCCTGTGAACATACAAGTATATATACACCACATACACACATACATGTGTGCCCACACATAGACACAGTGTGGTCTAATTCTGAACAACATGATGCAATTTAAGAAAAAGGAAACATGCAGCTGAACTTCCTCCATCTGATGATGCCATGGGTTTAATGAAACAGTGTTATATTCCTTTCTGCCATGATTTAGTTACACTACCTGATTCTGCAGGGAATATAATAATATAAATACTATTTGTTAGTCTTCAGTTAGGATTCAATGGATTGGCAGTTTTTCAGCATATATGAAACTCTAGTTTCAGGAGAGTCTAAATGGTTTAGACATTGATGTGTGAAAAAGTATTAACACAGCTAATTGAAGTTGGAATGCTGGAAATGATATGAACAGCAGAGCAATAATCCTTCATTGAGCCAGTGCCAGGTTCCAGCCACTGTTCTGACCTTGACAGGTTACTGGATTTATAACAGTGCTAAGAGTTCGGTTCTTATTTCCATTTTCCAGGTAAGCAAACTGAGATATGGAGAAGTGAAGTCACTGCCCGGTGTCGTGTAAATACAAAACAGAAGCCTTTGGATTGGCACAGGTTCTATGGCTCCAGGTCTTCATTACACACTGTTCCCCTCTGCCCTAGGAGAAGCAGAGAGAGGGATGCAGATGGCAGCAACCACATTCTCCACCCTGGAAGGACAGGAGGCACTGATCCAAACTAGGACTGGACCCTAAAATTGAGCACACATACACCAGTCTGATGACTGGGGAACCAGCAAAGGTCTGAACCAAGCCCCCTGAACGTGGGTGTCAGTTGGGAGACCAGGGCAGTCTATGGGACCTCTGGCAGTGGATCAGTATTTATCCCTAGTGCGTGGACTTTGGGAGCCCATTCTCCAGAAAGGGACACTCTCTCAGCCTAGATACACAGGGGAGGGCCTAACCCCTGCCCCAAATGATGTGACAGACTTTGATGATTCCCCATGGGAGGCCTCACCCTCCCTGGAAAGTGCATGGGGGCCAGGATAGGAGGTTGATGGGGGAATGGGAGGAAGAGGGAACTAGGATCTGCATGTAAAATAAGATTGTTTTTAATTTAAACTTTTAAAAAGGGAAAAGAAGAAAAGTGCCCTAACTGGTCACCTTTGCAGGTCAGGGCTAGGAGAGAGAGACTGAGGTGTCACTTTTTGTACTGTAGAACCTTCGCATCGCTATCCCTGTGTGTACAGATTACTCTCATAATTCAAATCCTGACCCGGCATGGTGGCATGCATTGTTATTACCAGCACTGTGGAGGCAGTGGCAGGAAGATCTAGATAAGTTTGAAGCCAGCCTTGTCTACATAGTGCGTTCCAGGGCAGCCAGAGCTATATAGTGAGACTATAGTCTCAAGAATAGCTAATTTTAAAAATTCTGACTTTTCATTCAAGTTCCTCTTAGAAAGTTTTCTCCAAAATCTTCTCAAAAGATCACTCCATCCTCTGGGCTCCCATGATGCTCTACTGCCCCTGACTTCTCTGCAGTTGCCCTTGAAAAGGCTTTGAGGACACTGTCAGATTGTCCTGCCTAAGTTGGGTCTTGGTCATTGGTGAATGAACTGGATGAGTAGCTGTCACTGATACCTGGCGGTCCCTCTTCCGATTCAAAGAACTTGGGAGCTAAGGTTTGTGGCCACAAGTGAGTCATCTTGTTGCCACTGTGGGAGGAGATGGGCAGAGACTGCAGAGTAGATAGATGCTCTGTTCAGTCTCCATCAAGTAAGACCGATAGAATAGAAATGACTCTTAGGCCATTAGGTTCAATGCCATCATTTTATATTATGGAAGAGGAAACTGAGACAGACCAAGAGGTAGGAAGAATTAAAAAAAAACAACTGAATTTAATTTTCCATTACAATAGCTGCATTATCTCATGTTTTAAAGTATTTTTGTTTTTCTTGAGACCAAATTAATATATATTCAGTGCTTACCTTGAAATTTTTTCTATATTCTTTATTTCTAGCATGGCTTTGAGCTTTTGTTTTTCTTTTAATGGCCTCATTTTGTATTATAAGCTAGCACAAATTCCTTTTGGATGTTATTATAGGATGCATAGATGGATGGGTGGGTGGATGAATTAAGGACTTTCCCAGGATCATATGGTTGGTCAGCAACAGATCTGAGACCTAGCAACCATCACTGCAGAATGTCAAGCAGCTGAAGTACCTAGTATAAAAGAGCTCTGGTGTTGCCATGACAACTAAAGTAGCCCTCTAATTTCCATCCTCTGCATAAGGGTCAGGTTCAGAGTGTTATTAGAGGTTAAGGTGCACATCATGGACTATTTGCACAGGTTCCTCCTGCTATGGAATAGCCTAGGTTAAGACTCAGGAGTCAGCAATTTGATAAAACAAGAAGGAGGACCAAATCTAAAAGATATGTTCAGAGAAATGGTACAAGAACACAGTCCTTCGGGAGACCTGAAGAGGTGGGAGGTAGAGCCAGCTCCAGTCCTGGCTCTGAAATTAACCCATGGAGTGTCTCTGGGAAGTCACTACCCCACTGTGGTTTCTTTACCCATGAGATGAGATGACCCTTGATGACATCTCAGGGTTCTTACAGTATAAAAGCACCCCCAACTCAATAACTGAAAAAAATGTCTCATCAATATCCATAGAAGGCCAGATCTGGTGCTTCTAGAACCCCTGACCAGACCTACATAGAAGAAATGTCCTTGCTCCCTCTTCATCACCCACACATTTTATTTACGTTATTTTAATTTTCTCACTGCTGTGTGGCCTCTGTGTCTCGGCTGTTAAACAATGGAAAATGCTTCCTTAGACAGTTGCTTTCAATCAGGGAATGTCTTCTGTGGCATTCTCAGGCAGGCACTCTCCCTTTCAAATGAATTTGCATGTTCACAAGTCGGTGCATGTTAACAAGTCTTGCCCTCGGACCCTAGGAAAGGGCATACAGTTTATCTTTAATGGTGTTCATCTCTTAGACAAATTGTACATTTTTCATGTCCTCTTCCACTGTAGATCTGAATACATGGAACACTAACCATTCCACAACCTGAATGCTATGCTGTCTTAACATTTCCCCACCAAAGAACTTAGTTCCTTACTTTTGAGTGAAGCCTCAATCAGATCCTTAGAACACAAGCAGTGTAGCTAGCTCTGTTACCAGAATGTAACACAAAGATCCTACAGCCCAGCTCCCAGGAGAGGCTCATCTCCTCTGAGGTCTCTGAAGCTGGACCTCCACTGTCTAAGCATTTTGGTCTTCTGGACTCTCACCAGGGAAAGCCCATTAAATTCTGCTGACAGCAGTGTTTCTCAACCTTCCTAATGCAGTGGCACTTTAATACAGTTCCTAGTGTTGTGGTGACCCCAACCTGGAGCAGTGCTTCTCAACCTTCCTAATGCTGTGACCCTTTAATATAGTTCCTCGTGTTGTGGTGACCCCCCCAACCATTAAATTATTTACATTGCTACTTCCTAACTGTAATTTTGTTACTGTTATGAATTTTAATATAACTATTTTTTGGAGGCAGAGATCTACCAAAGGGGGTTCGACCCACAGGTTGAGAACCATGGGCTTACAGCATACTGGGGCCTACCCAGCCCACAGCTTTAAACTTTTCTGCCTATCAAACAATTTGATTGTTTGATTGTTTATCATATCAACAACTTCACTACTCAGTACCGATATTCTGTATTATTTACTTTCCTGGTTGCTGTAACAATATACCTGGTAAAAGCAATTTTAGGAAAGAAAGCTTTATTTTAGATGTCAGTTTGTTGGGTATGGTCAGGCGATCATCATGCAACTCTAACTGTGGCAAAAGGAACACGAGGCAGCTGGTAATATTGCACCCACAGTCAGGAAGTTGAGATTACATGATTAGGTGTTCAGCTGGTGTGGTGGTTTGAATAACGATGCCCCACCCTTAGGCTCATATGTTTGAATGCTTCATCCCTGGTTAGTGGAACTGTTTGGGAAGGATTAGGGGGTGGAACATTGTTGGAGGAGTTGTATCACTGGAGATGGGCTTTGAGGTTTTGAAAGCCCACACAGACACAATCTCTTTCTTTCTGATTGCTGCCTGCTGCTAAGGTGTAAGTTCTCAGCTACTGCTCCAGGGCCATGCCTGCCTGCCTGCTGCCATACTCCCTGCTATGATGGCCATGTACTAACCCTCTGAAACTGTAATCAAGTCCCCAGCCAAATGCTTCCTTTTGTAAGTTGCCTTGCTCATGATATCTCTTCACGGCGACTAAACAGTAACTAAGACAGAAGTTGGCACCAGGAACTGGGACATTGCTGTAACAGGCCTGACCATGCTATTGTTGGGAGAAATATGGAAGATTTGGGGGCTTTGGATTAGGAAAGCAGCTGAATGCTATAATTGGGAATTCATGGGTCCTACTAGCAGGAGCATGGAAAGCAATGGTACTGAGAACAGTGTGGGTTGTGGAGGCCCAGATCAAGAGATGTCAGAGGGGCATGATATGAGAGACTGCTCTTGTGGTATTTTTGCAGGCAATGCAGGGGCTTTCTGCCTTTGTTCCAAAAATCTGCTGGAGGCTAAACTGAAGAGTTTTGGATTAATGTTGGCAGAGAAGACTTCAGGACAGCCTAGTACTGACTGTGTCACGTAGTTATTAGTGACCACTCTTGTGTGGATTTGCAATGAAAGGGAGCAAGCAGGGCAAAAGAAATGCAAAATGCATAATCAGGTGAAAAGGAGAACAAGGAAATGTAATGTTGGCTCCAAGTCCTGCGTTCAAGGAGATGAGAAGTTTAATGGCCTGATGCCAAATCTAATAAAGGGCAGGACCCACCCCACTAAGATTCCAGCTTGTGAAAATACATCAGCAAGTCAAATGTATTATGTACACATACATATACTTACATATACAGTATAATTACATTATGTAAATGTAATTCAAGGAGGGGGCCAGGGTCTATCCCTAGCAGGCAGCAGAACTTGGCAGTCAAGTAGTTCTGGCTTTATCAAAAAAAGATACAAGAAAGGGGTTATGGAGTTTTCCTCCATAATTAAGGAAAGCCACTAAGGTCATATGCCTGACAGGGGAGTCCCTGCATAATAAGCCCTGAAAGGCCATTGCATGCAGCTGTGAAGGTGAAGCCTGGGTTTTAATGGAGACACTGTCCTAGAGCCAAGGGATACCTGCTAAGGAAAGCTGCAGGCACCAGCCCCAGAAAGGGAAGCCACCCTGGACGGAGTGGGAGATGAAGAGCCATCTAGTAAGCCCTTTCACGCCAGACACAAAGTACAGAGTTTGGAGTTTGCCCTGCTGAGTTTCAGTCTGGCATTTGTCTGGTGTTTCTTCACTATGCCCCCATTCTTCAATTTTGGAAGGGTAATGTATATTTTGTCAACTGTATGTTGGAAGTATGTAATTGGCTTTTTGCTGTTACAAGGCATTACAGTAAAGAGATTGCCTTGGGTCTCAGAAGAGACTCAACTTTTTTTCTCCCCCCCTTTCCACTATTGCTTAGAGTCTTAGCTAGGGTCAACCTTGTGGATTCTTGGGAATTTCCTTAATGCTAGGCTTCTCTCTCACCCCATAATGGCTCCCTCTACCAAGATATCTCTTTCCTTGCTCTCCCTCTCTGTCCTTCCCCCACATGGAGCATCCCATTCCCTCATGTTCTCCTTCACCCCCCCCCGCTTCTCTCCTCCCCCCTTCTACCCTCGCCATTCCCCACGTACACGCTCCCAATTTACTCAGGGAATATTGTCTATTTCCCCTCCCCAGGGGGACCCATATATGTCTCTCTTAGGGTTCTTCTTGCAAACTAGCTTCTCTGGAGCTGTGGATTGTAGGCTGGTTTTCCTTTGCTTTATTTCTTATCCACTTATGAGTGAGTATATACTGTGTTTGTCTTTCTGGGTAGGGGTTACCTCACTCAGGCTAGTTTTTTTTCTAGTTCCACCCATTTGCCTGCAAATTTCATGATGTCATTGCCTTTTTTTTAAACCACATTCTCTTTATCCATTCTTCAGTTGAGGGTCATCTAGGCTGTTTCCAGGTCCTGGCTATTACAAATAATGCTGCTATAAACACAGTTGAGCAAATGAGACTTTGGACTTTTAAGCAGTTTTGAGACTGAAAAAATGTGGGGATTTTTGAAATTGGACTGAATGCATTTTGCATTATGATATGGCCACACGTTTATGGGGGTTAGGAAGGAGAATGTGATAGTTTGAATTAAGAATCCACCCCCCAGCTGGGCTGTGGTGGCACATGCCTTTAATCCCAGTACTCAGGAGATAGAGACAGGTGGATCTTTGAGTTTGAGACCAGCCTGGGCTACAGAGCGAGTGCCAGGGCAGGTTCCAAAGCTACACAAAGAAACCCAGTCTCAAAACAAACAAACAAAAAAGAAATGCCCTCCATAGATTCATATGTTTGAATACTTCATCCCTAGTTAGTGGAACTATCTGGGAAGAGTCAGGGTTAGGAGGTGTGGCCTTGTGGGAGTAGGTTCATCACTGAGAGTGGGATTTTCAAAGATCCATGCTCGGCTCAGTCTCACTCTCTTCCTTCCTGCTGCCTGGATGCACATTCTTAGCTACTGTCCCAGCATCATGCCTTCCTGCCTGCTGCCAAACTCCCTGCTATGACGGCCGTGTACTAATGCTCTGAAACTGTAGTCAAGTCCCCAGTCAAACACTTCCTTTTATAAGTTACCTTGGTCATGGTATCTTTTCACAGCAATAGAACAGTACCTAAGACAGCTGGCTTCCTTCCTTGTCCCCTTTAGCTTTCAGTCTGGGACCCTGGCCCATGAGATGGTCCACATGCATTCAGGCAGGTCTTTGCTTCTCTTCTCAGGTGTGGCCAGAGGTGTGTCGCCTAGGTGGTTCTAAATCCAGTCAAGTTGATGATGAGAATTAGCCATGATGCCACTCCTTTCTGGTAGGTGGTAGAGCATAAGAAAAGTGCCCCAAAGTGCATCGTCACTACCCTGTTCTGACCAGATGCACACTCGGACCAAGGGTAGGAGTAAGGGTCTGGGAGTACACTGTCATATTCTAGGGACTGCCTTCCACTGAACGGATAAGTCAGGAACTACTCAGGCTACTTGGGGGGAAAAAAGAACATTTTTCTATGTGTAAGCAGAGTTGAGCCTTCCTCTTACTGCATAGATAGGGGCTCAGGACATATCAGAAGCATTGTGAGAAGTCCCTGGGATGGAGGGATGGGCTGGGTTACTAGGTGATCTGCAGAGACTTTCTGTCCATATCCAGGTATGTTGTGTCCATGACCTTGGTCTCTTTGTGAGCTATGTATCCCTTTAACTCCTCTACCTTCATGTACCCTCTTGTACCCATAATGCATTCTTTCAACATAAGTTTCCTAAGAAGCTGTTGTTCCAGATGTTGGGAATATGGTGGTAAGTAGAGCTGTGGGGTTGAAGTTTCTACTCCGTGGAGTGAGACCTGCTATGAAGAAAAACAAAGGAGGCAGGAAATGTAGTCAGGGCCTTCAGGTGTAGCTATGGGCAAGGTCTTGTTATTCAGGTGACTTTTGAATGAAACCTGAAGGAAGCAAGAAAACAAGTTATGGACACCAAAGGAAGAACATTTCAGATACGGAAGGGACCCAAAGGAAGGAGTGTCCTCAGCGTGTCTGAGGAATGGGGTCAGTGTGGTTAGAAAAAGGAACTCGGGAGAAATTAGAGAGGCTGAAGAGCAAGATGCAGAACATGGAGGCCTTCATATGCTGGCCAAGATGCAGAACATGGAGGCCTTCATATGCTGGCCAAGATGCAGAACATGGAGGCCTTCATATGCTGGCCAAAGTAGAAGCCATTGGAGGTGGTAGACAAGGAAGTAACTTGCTTGGCTTAGGTTTTCCAAGGATGCCTCTTATGTGGAGGATGAGTATTGTCAGTGGAATTAGGATAGGCTAGGAAATCTTCTACCTGAGAGACAGTGGGGCTTGAGCCAGGATGTGGGGAGTGGTAACATGATAAGATTTGGGGTGTACTCCCAAGTGATGGCTTTGCTAACAGACTGGATGTAGGGATGAAAGGAAGGAGGAATTAGTAACTCCAAGGCCTCTGGGCCTGAGCCACTGGAAGGATGTAACTGACATTAGTAAGACGGAAGTGGCATTAGGGGCATATTAGATCCAAATGGAGATGTCCAATAGGCAACCTGGAGGTTAAGATCAGCAATTGAAGACAGAGATGTGCCATCATCAAGTAGAGATGACTGCCTGGCAGAGTAACTATCAGCCACATGTGGCCCCTGAAGTTCAGAGTGAGGTAAAATATCAAATAGAGTTCCACAGTTAGACCCACTGCATTTCCAGAACTTGATAGCCACATTCGATTGGCCGGTGTGTGTGTGTGGGTGCCATACTGAACAGTACCCATGTTGAATATTTCCAACTTCCTGGAAGTTCTGTTGGATGGGACTGCTATGTTTGAGTCTCCGTAGCACTTGTGGATGAATGACGGAGAAAAGTGATCATTTAGAGGTTGGAGAGAAGTGGAAGAGTGGCCTGTAGAGGCAAGATAAACTCCAGGAGAGAATGGATTCCTCCACGCCCATAAAGTGTTAAAATGGAGGGAATAAGTGATTGCAGCTCCTGGAAAGGACGGGACTCACCAGGTCAGTTGCTGCTGGGAGGTCAGTAACTGGCAGTAGATTTAATAAGTAGGTCATTGGTGACAAGGCTGGTTTTGAGGCAACAGAACACAAGACTGAGGGATAGAGTAGAATAAAAGGAGGGAACAAACAGAAGAGGAATAGAGGCCACACATTGTCACACCTTTCCAAATCAATGTGCTCTGACAGAGCGGAATAGGTGAGGCTGCCAAGCAACACCAAGGCTGCTCTGAGGATCGGAGGAGTGATGGAGCGTATTGGGAGCACTTAGGATCAGTCTAATGGAGAGGAACAAACGGATAACGCGGAGTGACGAAAGACAGTTGAGAGAACTGTGCAGGTGAGAAGGGAAGAGGTGGGTGGTGTCTAATCTCCAAGCAATTAGGGGTGTATTGTACAAGGACAGACAGTTCATCCACAGAATGATGGCAGGCAGGGGGCAGGTGGTGGGAGTGTGGGAAGGTTTGCTTGCAAATTGCCTTAATTTCCCCAGGGGGAAAAGTGGTCACCAGATGAAAGTGTGAACAGAGGCTTCCCAGGTATAAAGAGAGAGGGGAAGGGGAAGGTGTAAAGTCATTGTCCTGAACAGAGGGAGCCTGAGGGGATTGAGCACAGACACAGGATTGCTGGGCTCTATCTGGAGCTAGACTCTGTTCACATAGGCAGTTGCTTGTTGTCGCAGAGTCTCTCGTGTTTTCCCATCCGTGTTGTCTGCTGAGCCAACTGTGTTCCTCCAGGATGCAGCTCGGGGCTCCCTGTTTGTGACTGTCCTTTCAAGTCTTACTTTCTCCAGCCCTCTCTCATCTATCCATTCTTTGCTTATATGTCCCTTCCACTAATGTGGAGGTCAGCAAGCATTTCCTGAAAAGTGATGGATAGTAAATATAGTTTCTGTTTTATGAGCCATATAGACTCTATCACATTGATATACCCTTGCAATACAAAATCATCCAGACAGTATGTCAAAGATTGGATATCACTGTGTTCTAATGGAATACTCTTTACAAAAAAAGACAGCAGGCTAAGTGTAACCTGTGGGCTGTATGTAGTTTGTCATGCTCAAAGTGATGGTAGGAATGACGTCTCAATGATCTCTGTAGCCTCCATAGCTGACATGAATCTGGATGCTAAGTTGAGGCTCAGAAAATGTTTGTGTAGATGAGAAACAAGTTGGTGTGTTTGAGTAAGTGCTTAGGGATGTCAAAGTGTGCATGTCACTATGTCCCAGCACAGTCGTCGATGGCCAATCTTTCTATACTGTGTATATGGAAACATGGGAACATGAGCCCTGGATGCCCAGAACAAAAAATGTCAGAGATAGTTTTGTGAGGTATCTTATCGATGCTAAGCTGCTGTCCTATCTAGGCAAATTCTCTCCTATGTTCCTGGGTGCACAAGCCTCCCCTCCCCACTGCAGTGAGACCATCCATTTCCCAAACAAGTGTTGTATTCATTCTGACTTACTGTCCCTGTTTCCCCTCTGGCTCCCAGCTCTTTGCAAAGAACAAGTAGCCTTCAGGTACCTAGCATATACAAGGCATGATGGGAGAATCACAGACCCATCCCTCGAGAAGCTGGGACATCCTATAGAGACTGCCCTTTGCCCATTTTGATGGTTATTCTTGGTTGTCAAATTGACCTTACCTGAAATTAACTAAACTCTAAGCAGCTTGGATCATTTGAGGTGGGAAGATCTACCTTAAATCCAGGTCATCTGAGGTGGTGCCACCTCTTGGTGGCAGCCTATATAAAGAAGGAGGCTTTTGCTTTTGGCCTGCTTGCCCTCACTCCAGCTGGCAAACTCATTCCTTCATTGATATTAGAGTTTTACTTCTCCAGGATTCCAACATCTACTGGAGACCAGCTGAGACATCCAGCCTCGTGTACTGAACAACTACTGGATTCTTGAACTTTCCCTCAGGAGACAGTCATTGTTTGCCTAGCTGAACCACAGCTTGTAAACCACTCTAATAAATCTCACATGTACATGTGTATGTGTGTGATGTGTGTGTGTGTGTAGGTAGATGTATGTATACATATACATATATATATATTCATTTATTCTATCAGTTCTGTTTCTTTAGAGAACCCTGACTAATACAACTACCCCTGATCTCCTGACTTCCTCCTTAAGGCTTTTCATGGAACCCCTACACACCTGATTTCCCCTTCCCTTTCTACTTGTTTTGTTAATTGACTGAAATTATACACATTTATGATATACAACATGATATTTTGAAATATTCATACATTATGGAATGGCTAAATTATATACAAATTATATACTCACTACCTCACCTACATATTCCTTTGTGCTCAGAACACTTAGAATCTACCTTCTTAGCAATTTCACATGTCCAACCTATGATTACTAACTGTAGTCACCATGTTGCTTTCTTTATGCCTCCCCAGTCCTGCCTTCCTGTGGGTTCTCTTGGGTCTGAGCACAAGTGTGGGCATTTTCTTCCCAACATATCACATACACTACTAGAGCCCAGCAGAATCTCACTCTAATTTCCTTGAGGTCAGTGGTATCCAATAGAAATATAACTCAAACCAAATATGCCATTCCAAATTTATTAGTAGCACATTAACAACATAAAAAGAAACAGATGAAATATCAGGCCAGTGAAATGGCTCAGTGGACACACACACACACAATAGGTAAATGGATGTAATAAGAAAGAGAAGGAAAAACTTTAATCTTAATTAGTTTACTTCACCACTATATTTAGAATACGGTGGTACCCACATGCAATCAATATAAAAGTTATCAGTGATAAATCTTGCATCCTTTTGTTCGTGCTGGGTCCTTGGTGACCAGCATATGTTTCTCACATTTCACATTGAGCTGGACAGGCTGAATCTCAGTGCTCAATAGCTGGGTGTGGCTTGTGCCTCACACACTGAGTAGACAGCTCACACAGGCACAGGCAAATGGCCAGTACAGGCAGCACTGTGTACCCCCTACTCATGTGCCTCTTCGAACCACCTTATGAAAACAGAGTTGTCCCAATTGTTTTGGTGACAAAACCGACCCTTGAACTTCTTATACCCAGCTGGCAAGTTACAAAACTCACACTTGTAACCTAAATTTGAGCTCAAAGCTTACCCTAAAATAGAATATTTGAGGGGCGGGAGAGACGACTCAGTAGTTAAGAACACTGGCTGCTCTTCCAGAGGACCTCGGTTTGATATGCAGCACCCACACAACAGCTAACAACTGTCTGTAACTCCAGTTTCAGAGGCTCTGGCACCCTCTTCTGGCCTCCATGGGCTCTGTACACACATGGTGCACAGCAGGTAAACACCCACACATAAAATAAAAGTAAATCTCTTAAAATGTTACAAATAGACTATTTGAGGAGCTAGGAGAAGGCCCAGACAATTAAAACACCATGATTCCCAACACCTATGTGTAAAAAAGAGGGGACATGGTAACGCCCAATTGTAATCATAGCTCTGGGGAGGTAGAAACAGCCCAAAGTGCCAGTGAAGAGACTTTGTTTCAGAAGGTGGGTGTCTGCTGAGGAGTACCATCCAAGGCGGACTTCTGACTTTGACATGCACATGTATGTGTGCACATACATGTGAACACACTCCCTCACACACACTTCATACATACCACACAAAATAAGAAAATATTTGAGCTGGGAAGCTTTTTAGAATACAGTATCCAATAAGTTCCATGAGTATTCATGTGCCCAGAACCTAGTCTGCTGTTGGGCAGGTCCTAGGGACTCAGTCATGCGAGTGAATGAGTTTGGTCTCAGCTTATGGAAGTAGGCGTGGAGACCCGAACACAGGGGGGCTTGTCTGTCACCATGGAGCCCGTGGTGCTGATCCCCACTGTACTACCCTTCTTTGGTGGCCTTTGGCCAGGCAGTCGGTCAGTTACATGAAAACGTAGGCTTTGGACACCCAGAGACTTGTTTTCAAGGGAATGGATTTTAGCAGGAAGCCTTCCCTCTGTCTCCAGCCTCTGGCTGTGCCATCAATATTCCTTGTTAATTCCCATCCTTTCCCTTACTCTGGCTGCCCAGCTGATGGGTGAACCCAGCAGCTAAGCCTGGTTATATGAGAAGCCAGGTCTCCAGGTAAAGCCCACACTGACCAACAAAACACACGCACATGGTCACCACCCCCAGCTTCCACCTCAGGGTTGTGATCCGTCGTGACAACTCAAGCTGTTTCCCTGGTAGGCGAGCAGCATGACTCTCCAAGAGGGTCATACCGACCCACCGAGTCGGTGGCTGCCTGCCATGCCCGGATGCCTGGCATGAGAGCCCAGTTCCTGGGGGGCACCCTCCGGTTTGTTCAGGGCCAGCACCCTTCCAGGGACCTTTCAAGCAGCTGCCTCCCAGCAGGGTCACTGTTGATATGTTTTACTTTTTCCTCTCTGGTCTTTTTGAGGGGCCTGCCACCCAGCTCCCATATAAATCATACACGGACGCTTATTATTTCTTAAAACTACCTGGCCTTATTTTGGCTCGTTTCTTGTCAGCATTTCTTATCTTAAATTATTCCATCTGTCTTTTGTCTCTGGGATTTCCCCTTTTCTTGCTTCTGTGTATCTTACTTTCCTTCTCACGCTGTGGCTGGCTGTGTGGCTGGCCCCTGACGGTCTCCTCTCCTTGTTCTCTTTTTTCCTTCGGTTTATCCTCTCTGCCTGCCAGCCCCGCCTATCCTTGCTCCTGTCTCGATTCTGGATGTTCAGCTCTTTATTAGGACTACCAGGTGTGTTAGACAGGTAATGAATCACAGCTTCACAGAGTTAAACAAATGCAGCATAAACAAAAGTCACACACCTTATAATAATATTCCCCAAGAGGTCACAGTTAATGTCATAGATTATCAAAGGATGGAACTAAGAGAGAATTTGAAGATCATGCATTGTGGTCACAAACCACAATGAGTTACACACCTGCCAGGCTGTCAGGCACAGGTTTTGGACTCACTCAGCCTGGAATAGGAGCTGGGAATCCTTATTTTTAACAATCACCAGGTGGTGTTCCTGCCACAACTGGTCAGGGTCCACACCTTGGAAAGCAAAGCTCTTTCTGTCCCTGTCTGCCTTTCATTATAAGCGAGGAAAGTGGGTTGTGGGAATAATTTGAGTCACAATACAAGGACAAATCATGCTTCCTGCCTACAGAACTCCTTGACACGGACCACTTCCAGGCTTGCAGTAACTCCTTCTTATTTCTCTTAGATTGTTGGAAGTGTGGATGCATCCTGTTCTCCTATGGATCTCTCTTTGATCCCATCTAAGAGGCCTTGTAAACTGTGGAAAACATACTTTCTGGGGTGAGAACTTTTGAGAGAGTGTCTTGTCTTTGTACCAGGTACTCCTGGAATCAGAGGCAAAATGGGTTAAAATCCAAGTTGTGACCAGGTGTCAGACCTGAAGGGAAAGCTGAGAAGTGGGAAACATCTGCTACAGGAGTCCAGATGTCAGGGGGTTGTACTGAGGTATTCTGGATGACATCCATGGGCTGAGAAAGAAGTTTTCTGGCTTGCCTCATTACATTATGTCCTGGCTAGTTAGGTTTTTTGTTGTTGTTGTTGTTTTGTTTTATTTTGTTTTGCTTTTTCTAGACAGGGTTTCTCTGTGTAACAGTCCTGACTGTCCTGGAACTTGTTTTGTAGACTAGGCTGGCCTCAAATTCACTGAGATTCACCTGCCTCTGCCTCCCAAGTGCTGGGATTAAAGGTGTGTGTCACCACTGCCTGGCTCATGTCCTGGCTAGTTTTTATGCCAATTTAACACAAGCTAGAGTCATCTGAGAGGAGGGAACCTCAATTCAGAAAATACCTCCATAATGTCAAGGCTGTAGGCAAGCATAGAGGGCATGTTCTTAATTAGTGATGGGGGAGGGCCCAGTAAATTGTTGGTGGAACTACCTTTGGGTTGGTGCTCTTGGGTTCTATAGGAAAACAGGTTGAGCAAGACATGAGGAACAAGCCAGTAAGCCCCACTCCCCCATGGCCTCTGCATCAATCCTGCTCTCTAGTTTTCCACCAAGTTTGAGCTCCTGCCTTGACTTCCTTCAATGCATTGTGACTCAGAATATGTAATCCAAATAAACCCTTTCCTCCCCAAGTTGCTTTGGGTCATGGTTTTCCATCACAGCAATAGAAATCTAACTAAGACATGTGAGAGAGGTATCGTGGCTGCTTTCCAAACAAGGAGCCAGTCCCAGCCCTGGTGCCTCTAAGAACGCTAACATTTGTTGAATAAACACAGAGGTAAAAAAAAAAAAAAAGACAGAGCACTAATAACCAAACATATTGAAAGACTCCACATACTCAACAATGATTGCACACTTCAAAAGTGGCCATGGCAAAATGTTTTCCTTTTAATGCTAATGAAAAGTTCTTTTCAGGGTGTTCACAGTCCAGGGCAAGCCGGAGGGTGTGGGCTGCCGGACAAGGCTACCCAGTAAATACTAACCATCAGAACTGACCTAACTCTGTCTATTGTGGTAGTCACTTTCCCAGTGCTTCAAAAAATAGATACAATGAAAAGACAAGCCACCACCTTGAAGAAACAGAACTGGTAACAGAACTGAATCCATAAGAAAGTGAAGGAGGGGCTGAAGAGAGGGCTCAGTGGTTAAGAGCACTACTGCTCTCCCAGAGAACCTCAGCTCATTTTCCAGAACCCACATAAAGTCGCTCACAACTTCCTAGGACTCCAGCTCCAGGGGATCTGACACCCTCTTCTGGTCTCCAAGGGCACCTGAACACATGTGACATTTGCTCATACAGACATAAATTTAAAAAAAAAACATTAGGGGCTGGAGAGATGGCTCAGAGGTTAAGAGCACTGGCTGCTCTTCCAGAGGTCCTGAGTTCAACTCCCAGGAACCACATGTTGGCTCACAACCACCTATAATGAGATCTGGTGCCTTCTTCTGGCCTGTAGGCAGAGCACTGTATACATAATAAACAAATAAATCTTTAAAAAAACATTAAAGAAGACTTAAAAAAGAAACAAAGGAGAAGAAGCCAGTCTAATTTAAAAGGAAGTATCAGAATTAACCATCAATTAATGTATGGAGGTTAAACCTATGAGAATTGTTGGGCATCGTATATAATCAGAGAAATTCAAGTTAAAACAGTGAGACTGCCACTCGCCAGCTGCTGGCAAGGATGTGGACCAGTGATGGGAATGAAAAATGGTACAGCTAACTTGGGAGACAGCTGGGCAGTTCCTTGCAAAATAAAACATAGCTTAACCATGGCGTCTTGCAGTCATACCCCTTAATATTCACCCAAATGATCTGAAAACTATGTCCACATAGAAACCTACATGCAGGCATTTAACATAGCCTTGTTCATAATTGCCCCAAACTGGAAGTAACCAAAATATCTTTCAGACCCTCTATGTGGTACAGCATTGATAAAAAAAAATTTAAAAAAGAGCTACCAAACCACAAAAATGGTATGAAGGGACCTCAATATTACTAAAAAGCCAATCTGAGAAGACTGAATTCTGTATAATTTTACCTGTTTGACACCTGGGGAACTGAGAGGACACAGAGATAGAGGAAAAGTGGGGGCAGCAACATGTTTGGGGTGATGGAGGGAGGGTAGAGTAGGAGAGCTGGGGGTGTTTAGAACTAACAGTTTCACTTCCGTGTGATACTGTAGACACATGCCATCATAAATCTGAACAGCACAAACAGTGAATCCTGACTCAAGCCTCATTTGCTTAATGATAGCATAGTGATATTGATCTGCCAAATTTAACAAAAGCAGCATGCTAATATTGGGGAACTGTAGAGGCAAAGGCAGGAATATGTGGGAATATTCCATGCTTTCTAGTCAACTCTTCAATAATCCCAAATCCTTTATTGAAAAATAAACTCCATTAAACTTTTAAACACATGATACTGAATCAAGCAAGGGAATGCATACTCAGTCATGTTTCTCCTTAGGCACAAAGATGACCTTGGATTTTTGTCACTGGTGTCTCCTCCACCCAGCTGTCCCCAGCATAGCACGGGCTTTGTTGGGAACTGTCCTTGCAGTTTGATGGATTAGTGAGAAATATTCTTCCAGTGCAGAGAGCATACTCACAGGGCCATCCCGGGTCTTGCCTTGTTTTGACTGTCCTTGGAAAGCTGTTGAACCAAGTCTAGCAGGGGGAGATGAGCCTGGGATGCTGCTTTTTTACGTTGGCTGAGTGTGACCCTGACCCAAAGAAGTATACAGAGTAGATGGGGCATGAATAAAACCACTGTAACAGAAAACAGAAAAGTGACTCACAGCCTGTGAGACAACTGAGGTGAAGAAGGAAGGATGGTTTCTTCTCCTGTCCCCAAGTGGAAACTGGGGACAGTTGGAGAGACTTGCCTGTAAGAGCCTTTCCCCCGTATTTCCCCATTACTAAAACCATCAGGATCTTACACTGGATGTATAAATTCAATATGACAGTGTGTCTTTTTCCTTGACAAGCTGTTATTACATTGACTGTGTACCTTATTTTGATGGCTTCTTGGAGGCAAGGAAATGTGGTATTTAACAGTAACAGTCCCTCATGTCTAATGACTCTGTCACCCACCAGGATTAAGGGGAACATGATGAAAGAGAAGGGGGTGGGCTAGTAAGTTGTCATTTATTTGTCGCAAAACTGAGCTCTGACTAGCATTTCTCAGCTTCTTAGTTGCCTTCTCTGAAGCTATTGCTACCCCCCTCTCTTATGAAGTCCGTGTTGTTATAAACACTGGTGAGTGAGTTGTCCCAGGGAAGCTGTGGGGATGGGCTCAGGCCAGCAGCATCTGGAGAAAGCAGGGTTTTTGAAGGAGAAACAAGCTGAGAATGTCAGTGGATCCACAGGAGACTGGAGGAAATGGAGGCCAGTGGGCGTTTCTGAAATCAGAGGCCCTTACTAAGGTATTTGAGAAATCAGCGATAAGGGGTGGCATAAATTAGGTCATTGTTTCTGAGGCAGCCATTGCCTGGGCTGCTGAAAGAAGTTCATTTCCTGGCCCCCTTATCAGAACTGCCCCCATAGCCCAGGAATCTGCATTCCCAGCAAGCACTCCAGGTGGTTGTCCCTGCCAGAGCCTCCTGAGACCACCACTGGTCTCAAGGCCAGCAGACTAAGTCTCCTTTCTAACCTACTTTGGGTTAGGTAAACAGTCTGCAGCAGGGCCTGTTCACGGCTCCTATGAGAATCACCCCAGTCTTTCTTTCCAACTGTGCTGTCCCCCTGCCTCAGTCAGGCCCCACTTTCTCCATATCATCCATCTAGCTTTCAGTACAGATTCTCTTCCATCATGATTTAGCTTTTCCTGCCTTGGGCCTTTCATTCCGATGAGACTGAAGACCGGAGTTCCAAGGATTGCCTTGGTCTGCTCTGCATCATGGCGCCTACCCTGAGCTTGGTACTTCCCACACTCGCTGCTGATGCCTATCGCCTGGGGCGCCCTGACCAACAATATAGCCATCTGCAGCCTAGAGGCCATGACTGTTTCTCTCCGGCTTCCTCCTTCTGGGAAGAATCCCATGAGATTTATGACTAGCATTACCAGGTTACTCCTGGGCTGAGTTCGAAGTGGGGCTGGTTCTTCAAAGAGAAATGCTGGTGAGTGGCATTTCTAAGTCCTGATTCAAAGTGGACACTGCCTGGTGTGCAAATGAGATAGTAGCAAAGTGTGGCCCTTGTCATCATGACACAAGAATCTGTGGTCACTGAGAGGAGACTGACTTCTCTGGGAGTGCAGTGAACAGACCCTGCAATGGAGGGCGGGGTCCAGGAAGTTCAGAGGCCACTTTCAAGGAGTTTCTAGCAGTCTTTTGAGCAGTGGCTTGCGTATTGGTGTTCTGCTTATTACAAGAGATGAAATTCTTTTCCTGATTGGTCTGAAATCTATGGAATGAAATCCGTTGTGTTTCTACCTATGCTGTCAGCTTGTTGGGAGGGGAAGGACACTAGCAGAAGTCTATGGATTGGCTATGGGTTTGGTTTAGTTTGAGAGGTGGGTGTTTATGGAAGAAAATAGGATCCTCAGCAGATTGGCTGTTGCTGAATCAGTCCATAGAATTAGTTGATGGGGGCAGGGCAGTGGCAGCACCACCTTTAATCCCAGCATTCAGGAGGCAGAGGCCAACCTGGTCTAGAGAGCAAGTTCCAGGACAGGCTCCAAAGCTATACAGAGAAACCCTGTCTCGAAAAAACAAACAAACAAAAAATTAGTTGATGGGGTGATTCCAAAGACATCTATGGCTACTTTAGATTTTTACTATTGGTCCTCCCCTTTTCTATTGTAACTCTATTGCTCCATGGGAAAGGTGCA